CAGCTAATAAATTATGGGAACTGGGACATACCCCGGGTCTATCTGATGCTAGAGTTCACTTTATTATCTTGCCCAAGGTCATATTAATAGCTGTTATATGAGGGAAGCAGGGTTAGAATCCAAGTCGGCTCTCAAATCCTCAGCAGACCAAGTGCTGGCCTTGGAGACCAGGAAGCCTGAACTAAGGAGTCCCTCCGCAGAGCCCTCTGCCCTGGAGAGCTCTGCCTTGCCATCCCTTCCCTGACCTCTGCTTTGCTCAGGACCCTGATCACATTCTGTTTTCTGTTGTAATGTCCTTCAGGGCTAACACTGAGCCTTCTGCCACTTTTTCTTTTTCTTTTCTTTTTTTTTTTTTAATCAGTCTGGTGTAGAGAGAAGGATGCACGCTTTGGAGCCAGACAACAATGCTTCGAATACCAATGCTCCTTACTCAGTGAATGAACCTCTCTGAACTTCAGTTTCCTGGCTTGAAAAATGGGTACAATTCTTGCCTTGCATTGTTGTGAAGATTTGAGTAAATGCACGTGGAGTGCCTTGCACAGTGCCTGGCACACAGCAGGTACTCTCTGAGGGGTGCTTTACCAAATCATCCTCTCTCACAGCACCTAGCTCAGTGCTAGGTTATCGCTTGCTTGATTTAATTCATCTTTGATTTGCGCACAGCACCTAGCATGGTGCCCTACACAGAGCAGATGTTCCCATACGTGGGTGGTTGAGTTGAAAACTACAGAGAGAGGGGTGTCTGGGTGGCTCAGTTGGTTAAGCATTCGACTTTGGCTCAGGACATGATCTCACATCTCATGGGTTCGAGCCCCACATCTGGCTCTGTGCTGACAGCTTGGAGCCTGAAGCTTGCTTCAGATTCTGTCTCCCTCTCTCTATGCTCCTCCCCTGCTTGCACTTTGTCTCTCTCTCTCAAAAAATAAACAAACATTTAAAATTTAAAAAAAAGAAGAAAAGAAAAGAAAACTGTAGAGAATTAGAGAGGGAGTACCATGTAAAACTGCCTGGTCACAGGTGAGAGGTCTCCTCCCATAAAGCCTCCAAGCTGATCTCAGAACTTGCATAGCCTTTGTCTCCCCACAGGTCAAACTCAATGGCAGCTTCTCCTAGAGGGCTCACAAAAATGGGAGCTTGCAACATCAGAGGTTTGTAATGTAATCAGATGGATAATGAAAAGGTTCTTCTTCCCCAAGCCTCGAGTGAGTCAGAGCTCTATGCTTGGCTTTGCCCCAGAGAGTGCCGAGAAAATGAAATATAGCCTGTATCCTCATGACACCTAAACAAATGGTCAATTCCATGGGTCAGATATCAGCCAGAGGGGTTAAGAGGTATCTCCTGTGAAGGGAGGGGAGGAGCAGCAAGGAAAGGACCATTAGCAAAGGTTACATAGTGGGGTCCTGGTACATGGCTGCTTTTAAGACTAATACCTACCTACCTGTTTGCATTTGGGTGGGATGTTTGTTTTGACTTCGTGAAAGACACCGGTAAATGACATCATGTCTGAAATATGCACAGATTTTGAACCTTTTGATCTGGCTCAATAATCTCTTCCACATTCTGAAACCTGAACCAAGTCATGAGTGGATATCATGTGTGGCTTCCCTTTGGGGCAGAGGAAGGAACACCGTTCTGTGGGCTGGGGAACTGGAGTTTGATAACCAGCTTGGCACATGACTATCTACGGGAGTTTACCGATTCCCTCTGCCTCCTAGACCACCACAATGGGAAGATGGGCAAGGGCAAGTTCTGATAGCTCTTGAAGAACTAAATCACCTTAAACCTGTGTTTCTCAGATTTTTAGAATCTTCAGATACCCACTTCAGCAAATTTAATTGAAATAGGGGGGAAAAAATCTGTTTTCAGGGTTGCCCCTACCACACATTTCTTAATTTCAGGGAACCTCTTGAAACCCTGTATTTTGTGCATGTGAGAATCTCTGCATTTTGGTGGGAGGAGACGATTAAAGCCTTAGATTAAAACCTTGGATAGGTGTGCGTTAACCCCCTGATCCCCAAATACATACATATATGTATTTATATATTTTTATTACATGTTTATAAAATAAAAAAAGAGGTTAAGATGCTACCTCTAGGTTGAGGACTTAAATGTAAATCACCCTGAGCATTCTTCTGGCTCCCCACCCCTGAATATCAGGTTTTAGTAATTATCAAAGGTAGACAGTGGGAAGCCCTAGGTTCAAGCTTCTGGACGAGAGTAAACAATGGCATCAAACTTTACTTTTCAATCTATAGCTGTCACTACTTTGCTCTGCCACATGTCTACTAGCCACATGACCTCAGGAATGCACCAAATCTCTTGGAACCACAGTTTTCTTATCTCTCAATGGACAATGGTTACGCCAGTCTCAAAGGATTGTTGTGAAGAATAAACAAAAACAAGTAAATGCTTGGCTCTCAGTAGGAGCTCAATAAATGTGAGTTCCCTTATAGTACTAGTCACTCAGGTCTCAAAATTTTCTACTTGGGAGATAGCTCTCTCTACAACAATCAATCCACTCCCTTCCTCAAATGTAAATTGGTAGAGTCACTTTGAAAAACAATATGGAGGTTCCCCCCCAAATTAAAAATAGAACTACCACATGATCCAGCAATTTCACTTCTGGATATATATCCACAGCAAATGAAAATAGGATCTTGGGGTACCTGGGTGGCTCAGGCAGTTAAGCATCCGACTTCAGGTCATGATCTCACAGTTTGTGAGTTTGAGCCCCACGTTGGTGTCTGTGCCAACAGCCCAGAGCCTGCTTCAGATCCTCTGTCTCCCTTTCTCTCTGCCCCTCCTCAGCTCACACTCTCTCTTTCACTCAAAAATAAATAAACATGGAAGAAGAAGAGGAAGAAGAGGAAGAAGAAGAAGAAGAAGAAGAAGAAGAAGAAGAAGAAGAAGAAGAAGAAGGAGAAGGAGAAGGAGAAGGAGAAGGAGAAGGAGAAGGAGAAG